CCAAAGTTTTAATTTTTTAAGACAAATAAATATCACTATGCAATAAAGCAAAGGTTTGACAGCAGCAGGTCGTTTGAGTCGTTTTACCTTCATTCTCTGAGAAGAATATCTGCCAAAGATGTTCTTTGATGAAGCCTCAGTTCCCTTTAGTATCTCCACTATTCTCAAACAGTGAAAGTAGTGGATGTCTGTTTGTGGAAACACATAAAAAAAAAGCAACAGGGATTTATTAGGGATGTACAAAAACAGGCAAACAGATAGCTTTCATGCTTTATGGTAGGAGCTCTTGAATCTACGCCTTCTGTTTGAGTGTTTAAAGGGCAAATACCACAATTTAGAGTCATAAAATCTTTGAATATTGAAATTATGAGATATTGTAAAAATCATAATCTGCCTTTCCAGATTTTTCAAAGACAATAACAAATGTGAATATCTCCTTGGACAACATAAGCTTATGTAACCACACCTCTCATGAAGCGAACACCACATATGGATGACGTGTTGTGAGAAAACTACAGAGGGAGCTATTGAGTTTGAGTGTTGTGACAGACAGTACTTTTTGAAGTTACAATAGCGTCATGCAAAAGATTCATTGATTATACAGAGAAAAATAAGACTTGTAAAATTACAGCATGACTTCCTAACACAAAGTAGATCAATATGATGATGGTTTTTGAGAAGAATGTGCTGAGGGAAAAAAAAAAAAAAAATCTGGTTAGAACTGCAGCAGAATCTCTACCGTAACTCTAACAAAAACAAAATTAGTTTTTGTTAAAAGCAGTTATTCTTAGCTTCCTCAAGCAAAGAAATGCTTCTTTTTTTACTCAACTTCCTCCTCCTCACTTCCTAAATTACAATATAAATCTGGCACTGTAATTTTTTTGTCTGAAAGAAAGTTTCTTTACAGCAACTGCATGTCGTTGGTGACAGAGGGAAAAGTGAAAGTCTGGAGGCATCCATAAGAAACCTACGGGATCCAGAGAGAAGCTGCTTGATCTCCTCGTTTTCGGGCATGTCCTGAATGGCAGCGTTGATCTTTTCTCTGATTGTTTTCACCGTACTCTGCCACTTTATGTTGCAGTGACGCCGATCCACAAGCCAGTCTGAAAACACAAATATTTCAAATTATTTATGTCAAAGAATCTAGCGTCATACTAGTCACATACAGAAGTTATAGTTAAACGGCATATTTACTGCTGGATTTATTCCTGCAACAAAATACACAAAATACACATAAACCAGCACTTGTTGACAGTCTTTGCATTCAAACCTTCAGACTTTTTAAAAAATATTTCAAAGTTGGTTTGAAGGGGAAAAAAATAAACTTTGAAAACATTTTGAGTCTTTAAAGTGACTTGTTTTCAGTTCAGTCCTGGGGCAACATTGTATTGTTTGAGGTATAAACTCTAATAAAAAACTAGTAATGAGAAAGAACTTGTCATGAGAAAGCAACAATCAACTTTGAGTGATGAAGTTTGCAAACTTCAAAAACTGGTGGAATGGTTGAGTTTAGTACTTTCGGATGGATGGACAGATTGAGATGGACAGATAGGTGACTGATGAAATCAATGGCTTTCTGCACATACAGATGCATGAATAATTACAATTATAATACAAAGGGATAGGGAATACAGCATGGAAATTTGGTCTTTTCAAACTTATTTAGACCTAGAGAATTCTAATTTTTTTCTTTACTGAAAAGGAATTATTTGAACTACAAACACAAACCTTCAGGTTCTGGACTGAAATTAGACGAAAAAGCAGCCAAATTAAAAAAAAAAGGTCAGGAGTTAAGAAAGTCTCATAAAGTACATGGCGTACACTTTAAAAGATCGGAAAGTATGAAGAAAATAATAATAAATGACTTCCACAGAGTGCTGTCCGTGGGATGTCTCACCTAACAGCTTGCTGGTCTGTATGTCGATGGGGAGATTTTGGATATTCTGGTGGAAAGAAAAAAAACAACAACCAAATCGTCAGCACTTTTTACCTTTTCATTGTTATCTCTGCAGCAGGACTGATAAGCAAAATGTAAAGAACAATGTAGCATAAATCATCAGGAAAAGGTTAGATTCTTTCAGTTAATCCCTGGACTTTGGATTTATTATAACTAGCTGTCGTGTTAGCTAACAGGCTACTATTAAGAGTCGACTCTGAGAAAGTGCTTTTTTTTAAACTCACCTCCATTGTTTCTCCGATTGTTCAAAACGAAAACTCTTCTAGAATGTCACTATTTCATGCTGTTTAAACATTAATATCTGGAATTTTTACGAAACTCAACAGGATTTCAGTGTTGATATGACACGTTAGGAGAAGCTTCACCAATCAGAGACGGCGACGTTTGTTAGCTGTCAAAAATTAACCAATGATGTTGAAGTATACTGACGGCCGCAGCTGATAGGTGGATATATTGAAACCGCTTGACCGCAATACTTAAAACCTAGCACTAGATGGAGACAAATATCTGTTTAATATTCTTTAAAAAAACATTTTATATTAAAATTAATCAGCTGCTTTGTTAGTCTAAATGTTTCAGGTGATGTAGAAGCCTAATTCTGTTACTTTGAGGAAAATGTGTTTGTTTGTTTGTATCTCATATATTATGACTTAGTTATCTCAATTATGAGACAAGTTAATTTTACATCAGAGTGGCAGATATAGGCTTCCATTGGCTTTCACTAATGCTTAAATTTAAATGACGTGAAGGTCAGGTATTTTTTAAAGTTTTAAAATTGTACATCATCATGTGTACACAAGCCACTTCATAGAAAAAATTGAAAATAAAAGCCCCAAGCAAAAAGAAACCCCCAAAAACTAACAAACTAAAACTTTGGTAACACTTTATTTGAAGGGGGTTGAATAAGACTGTCATAAACATGACATAACACCTGTCATGAACATGAATAAGCCTTCATGAATATTTATGACTGTTGTCATAAAGTGTCATTCGGTAAATTATGACACTTTTAATACAAAGTTGACATTATTCAAAATGTCTTTGTTATGACAACTTGACATTAACCAATAAATCATTACTGTTTAAACTTTACCTTTAATAACATAAAGTTACCTATTTTTTAAAGTGCAATCAGTAATACTTTTCTAACAAATTTATATCAGTAATGATTTCTTGGTTAATGTCAAGTTGTCATAACAAAGACATTTTGAATAATGTCAACTTTGTATTAAAAGTGTCATAATTTACCGAATGACGCTTTATGACAACAGTCATAAATATTCATGAAGGCTTATTCATGTTTATGACAGGAGTTATGTCATGTTTATGACAGTGTCATGTCAGTCTTATTCAACCCCCTTCAAATAAAGTGTTACCAAAACTTTTAATAACTTAAATGTAGAAGTTACATTTCACTGCTACATGGACAGAAAATCAGTGGTAGATTGTTTTATACACATTAGCTGCATTTTATTTTATTTTTTTTCTGGAAAGAATGGTTTATTAAATAGCCTGGCACAGTTGTGATTACTGCCAAACCTGTAGAATCGAGAAATTGATTCAGAACTTATAGCAACTTAAAGTTGGCTAAAATATTTTTAAAAGCATGCACAATTTGGCCCTGCAATTCAAGAAAAATAGATTAGAAGCAAAGTCACTGACAGACATTAGTTTGGACATCAGTTCGGAAAGGGTTGCGGAGACATCACCAAGGCTCTGGGACTCTGGTGACTGTGAGAGGTGTTAACCAGAAAAATGGAGAAAACAAGCAGCAGTGTAGGCCAGAAGAGTCTGGCCTACAAAATTATTCCAAGCACACATCAACAAGAACACGTCCAGCAGGTCACAAAATAACCCATAATACGACCCAAAGCCCAGAAGATCTCTCTTGCCTTAGTTAAGGTCAGAGGTCAATGTGGAGCAACAAGCAAGAGACTGAACAACAATGGCATCCACAAGAGTGTTCCAAGGTGAAAACCACTGTTGACCAAAAACAACTTAGACATGTTTCTCATGTACATGTTTTTTATTCTGTGAACTAATTAGAGCAAAACAGAATCTTTTGCAAGATGTCCATCCTGTTACATCCGAAATAAAAAAAAAAAAATTTCAGAAGAACAGCCTGTCATGAGACTCAAATATGTAAAACAAATATACATATATACTTTTTCATATAGGACCAGGCAGTGGGAGTTTTTGATATGGGCCACATGGGCAGTTGCTCACAGTGGCATTAGAAAGAGGTGTGGTGTCCAAGAAGTAGATATTATATCTTCTTTATCAAGATAGATAACTACTTAACTACTTTGCTAATACTTGCACCCATGTGGACTGATGTAAGTTTCCCTCGCTTGCTACTGAGTTCTCGGAGATTAGATCACCTGTTTTCTGACCACTCCTGTGACCAGGTGGGTTTGAATATTTTTTTTTTTTGCCTCCTGAGTAAATAAAATTATTATTTGAAAACTCAGTTTTGTATCTTATTCAGGATATCTTTGTGTCATATCAAGATTTGCTTCATGATCTAAAACATCTAAGTCTGAGACAAAAAATGACGCACTCTTACGTACATTTTTGCGTTAGTTAATCAGATGATTAACATTAACTACTGCAGTTTTCTCTTGACGTCAGGCAGTCGTGAAAAGATGATGTTTAAATCCCTACGGCTACATTTAGCAGAGACTCTGAGCCATGCGGCCTAACTTCAGCTCATTTGAATGGTCACCAAGACATCCACTCACTGTGATTTTACACAAAGCCATGCAAAACAGCTCTGCGTCCGTCTCACTTTGCTCCAATTTCCAGCTCACAATCACCCTGAAACGGAGATAAATCAGTGTTTATCCTGCTGACAGCCACCTCCTTCACATAAAACACTATTCCCGTTAAAAGTGAGACTAAAAAAAGGTTTTCATTGCACCCTGCAACACTGAAGGTCACTTGGTGACAATGTTACAACATTGCTGTGCTCTCTCACCTAGGCGGGGCTTAGGTTTATGTGTGTTTGAGAAGGGTGTGTTCTTAAGTGGAAGGCACGAGAGGAAAAAAAAGGCTGGAGAGAAAGGGAGAGGGAGAGAGATGATGCACCTGCTCACGATCACCTGAGGAGACGAGACAGGAGATTCGCAAGAGCTGCAGCAAGAAGACAGACCGTCACCAGCATGGTGGGACACCTCCATATCTGAGACACTCTCCTTCAGGCAGGCAGCTCGTCATCCCCCCAGGTAAGAGAACGAGTCCGCATGAAACCCAATTCATGTCTGCAACGAGCGACGGTAAGAAGTCTGCGATGTACTGTTAGAGGAGGTTTCGGTTACATAAGCGAAAGCACCAAAACCGATAATGGTTCCAATTATGTAAACTGTAAGGCTGTAAAGTTCAGCCGTTCAAAATAAAATGAAATATTGAAGAAAATGTAATTTAAGTTTTCAATTGTTTTTTTTTGTTGTTTTTTTAAATTTAGTTTTAGGAATTTTCTTTACTTTTTTTACTGCTGTAAAACTAACAATGTTAAGCATTCAGGGATAAAATAACATGAGGGTTTTGGAAGAAAAATACTTTAGGGTTGCTTTACAAAACAATGTAAGTTATCTTTTGGCTGCTGTTAAAATTAGATTTTATTTCTATTTCTCTGAGTATTGTTTTTTTTTTTTCAGGCCCAAATATTTGATTGACGGCAAATTTACATTTAGAGATTCAACCCTTACTTGGTTGGGTACTTCAGTTTCAATGAAGAGTTGAAACTGAGCAAGAGCGACGCCTACCTTGGTTGTCACAAGATTAGCCATAAAGGCGAAGATGATACTTTGGACTTTGCCGCCGTAAAAGAAACGTCTCCGTTTATTATCACAAATACACTTTGCGATAAGCAGAGAAAAAAAATGAAACCCCTCCTTTATCAATTTTTCTGCCATGAGTCAGGGGTGCTTCATTGTGAAAGCAGCGTAGGAGGCCCTTGGAGGCCCTCGGAGGCCCCCCGTGTCTCCGTCTCTGCTGCTCCAATGTGGCGCTGGCTTTTTCTCCCCCTGCTGAGACCTCTGGAAAAATCTGCTCAGCCGCACACACACACGCACGCACGCACGCACGCACGCACGCACGCACACAGCAGAACATACGGTAACTTATTAAAAATGAGCGGCAGAGGTGGAGGGCGGAGGGGGCTCATGTCAACAGGACGTTTTGTCTCAAAGGTCACACATAAGTCAAACAAGGCTCGCTGAAAGAAAGGTGCAAAAACTGCTCAACAGAAAGTAAAAGAAAATGCTGCCAGATGTCTTTTTAACAACTACAATAGAGATTACAGAATTATGGCCAGTTTACGACTATCTGTTACGTGAGTGCCTTCAAACTGAACGCCGAAGTTATTATGCAACACCGGGTTGGACTGCGAAATGAGGCCCAGACAGGTGCAGCGCTGAGCTGCAAATCAGAAGTTTTATCTCCAGGTCCAAAAATGAAATCTGAATTATTTTACCCCTCAGGTGATTTGACTTTCCGTGCCAGGTGCCGAGTGTCACATGACCCAGATAAGAGTCAGATGAGAGTTTCTGTGAAAGGGCACAGGCTCTTTATTTGCATAGGTGCTTCATGATAAAAATGACCACACCAAAGAGAGATTTGTACGCCTCTTTGCTTCCTTTAAGCGCTCATGAAAGGGACATTGTTGCGCTTATGAAACTCATAAAGCCGGGGCTACAATCTGCACAGCTTCCAAACAACTTTCAGATTTCATAGTCAGCCCAGTTTCGGGTGTACTCAGACACAGGACAAAGGCACTCTGCCTAAACTGACAGAATGGTAGATTTATTATTATTATTAATAATCCTTTATGTTACTGATAAGATGAATTGTTCTTTCTTCCCTAAATCAGCCCCACCATATTGTAAAAGCTTTCCATTTTGAACGAGGGGTTTTATTTATTTCCAGAGCTGCCTTACAAGGTCTCTTACACAAGATGAAGAGCGTCGTGAGTTCATTCGTTTTTGCACATTTGTTGTTTCCCAGGCAATTAAAGTCATTGCTATAACAACGTCTCTCCAGTAATGAGGGATGAGCTCCAAGTGGCTGTTAAATGCCTTTAATGCGCTGAGATGAGATGGACAGGTCTTTTTCGTTTGTTCAATTAGGATGCCTCTAATTAATAACTTCAGTTTATTATTGTAACCAATAGTTAGTCAAGCTGACAGGAAAGGCTGAAATTCTCACGTATGACATGAGAAACACTGGATTGGGGTCCAGTGCCGATCTGATTGATCAGGAGCTGAAGTATTTATCAGGTTTAGCCTTTCAGACAGAAGTTCATTCTTTGAGGAGCAGCTCGGACTTCTTCATGTTGGCAAACCAGAACCGGACCGGGTGAACAGAAGTGAATGTATCAAATAAGATGGAGAAACATTTAGAATGAATAAAACCCAAACACAACATTTTCTGCTTTATTTTTTTTTAATCTTTGCAGCCTAAAGTCACTCATGTTTTACTTTAAAAAGTCACTTTTTAATAAAAGGGAGTTCATTTGAGGACGACTGTAGGATTGTCATGTAGCAAATTTCATCAAACGTTATCCAAAAGACGTTGTTAATATGAAACAAGGCATTGTTGCAGAAAATAGTTTTCTTTTGAAAAATGATTTTTCCACACTGAACATAAATTTTATATATATATATATATATATATATAAATCACTCATCTGGCATGAGGAATGCATGTGAAAAAAAAGTAGACACACCAATTGCGTTCTCAAGAAATTAATGAATAAATGAATAAGTTGCTGTTATCTGTTAGTCTGTAAAAGTGTAGAAAAGCCTTTTCCACAGGGCTAAGGCTTCATTAAACTAAAGTGAAAGATGTTTTCCACAAAATTACTTCAAGCGGGCATATATCAACAACATCAACAACTTCAAACCAAAAGTTTGAAGTCGTTGAAGTTGCTAAATATAATTATTCACTAAAATTTTAAATATGCCCAAGATATTCCTCGGTTTGAACTCTTCCAACTTTGATGATTTCTATTTTTCATATAAAAACTGCTGAACTTTTTTTTTTTTTCATGTAAAAATGGAAGTAAATAATAATCTATCACTGTCTGAACGTGACTCGGTTTCTTAAAACTTTTCACCTTTAAACAAACTCCAATCATTGAATTTAAAAATGCAACTCGTGCCTTTGTGAGTTATGAGGGAAATATGACAGGCACAAAAACGGGAAGCATGGATCACTTCTTTTTTATTATTATTACTTTTTTAACCTTTTTTTGATGCTTTGCAGCAAAGCTTTAGTAAACTCCTTTGTTATTCATACACCTCCAGATTTAATGCGATTGAAGCAATGCTCAGCCATTCTTACTTCTTCACAGAGTCAGACAAGCTCCGCAAAAACATCCGGTTCTTTTGATATAATAGGCAACCTGACATATTGTTCAGTACTCTTGATGCATCCTATAAACCTACCTAAAAATCAATAAGGAAATTAATACATAAGGTTGATTAAAACAACTATTCAAGAAAACCTTCAAGACAGGAGTTTGTGAAAAGAAAACAGCAACCAAACAGTGCGAGGCTTTTTATAGGCAGGGCCATTTCAAAACAGTGCCCCATAAACCAGTTTATGATCCATCCGCTCAGATTACCCAGTTAATAATTGTTTTTGTTGAACAGTTATTTATTTTAGCTGTCTGGTTACCAGGCAATGGTGGATTGTGGAGGTTATTGTTTCCTGTGTATCTACACGGTGGGCGAGTGTTTGTCCCCCTCCAAGATATCTTCTATTTTTCACATCATCAAACAAAACTCATACAGAACAAAGATAATGTGAGCAAATACAAAAAGCAATTTTCAAAAGAAAATTTAATCTATTTAGGGGGGGAAAAAAGACCCAAGTGAACTCCAATCGTGATCAGTGTGGAGGAATTCTGACTCACCCTTGCCTTAAATAAACTACATTGAAGAGTTTTAAGCATGAATGGTGTGTTTAAGGTCAGGTCTCTCCGTTTCAGTTGGATTTAAGTCCAGACTTTGACTAGACCACTGAAAAAAAACAGGCTTTACTTTTTATAGACTTGCTGGTGTGCTTCAGGTCATTGTCTAAATGTATAAAACCAAATGCACTTGATTTTAGTGTCACAATCTCGTGACTGGAGTAGAATCAACACATTATGTGATCCTGAAGCAGCAAAGCAGTCCCTGACCATGACACTGCCACCATCATGTTTGACAGTGTAACATTCACTTTTACAGAAATTCTTATTTTTACAAGGGATTTCCTAATTTTTACCCAGGTTTTTAACTTATTCTGGAATCATGTTGGATTGAAGAACAAAGTGAGATTTGCACTACTTTACAAGTTGTTTTGGGGACTTTTGTCTCCTCCTGGATGAGTTGTTGATGCCCTCTTGAAGTAATTTTGTGGAAAACATCTTTCACTTTAGTTTAATGAAGCCTTAGCCCTGTGGAAAAGGCTTTTCTACACTTTTACAGACTAACAGATAACAGTAACTTATTCATTTATTTAAAAAAGATCTTTTCCTTAATTTCTTGAGAACGCACTTGGTGTGCCTACTTTTTTTTTCCACATGCGTTTTTCATGCCAGATGAGTGATTTCTTAGTTCCACACGTCTAAGAGCAACCAGAACTGGGTATGGTCAGAGAAAATTATTTAAACGTAAAAAAAAAAAAAAAGTGGTTTATTGCTGTTAAGCCACGATTTAACAATGGATTAGTTTTTAATGCAAGACCAGGTTGGTTTGAATTTTGCTCCTTGAAAAAATGAAATAATCATTTGAAGCTTGTTTATTTTGGATTTATACTCCTGCTATCTTTGTTATTAGAGTGTGTTTTATAGCCTGAGACATTCAAGTGTGACGCAAAAGCAAAAACAGAGTAAATTCATATGAAGATAAATCACAGAACCCTACATGTATACAGACAAGACACTTAATTCAGACAATTGTGATGTTACAACAGTAGCAGCACGTCCTTACATAAGTTTCTGCTCTGCAAGTCAAAGACTGGCAGCTTGTTTCTTGATCAGTGAGAAGCATTTTCGTATCAGATCACACGGGAGTAACAGAGGATCCTGTTCGGATAATCATTAATTTATCAGCTGAGGCCAAGGTGTCCGGTATCGCCGCGACTCCAACCAAAGAGATGAGCAGCAGGTGAAAGAGGGCAATAATAGCTATGGTCAGCTTTCTAAGAAAGGGCCTGTTGAGCAGAACGCTGTGTACACAATAGGAGCACATTGTTATTTGTACTTTTGAACTGATCGACATGGAAAACAATTAAACACAGAGCTGCAACAGAAGTGGTGTTTAAAGTCTTTTTAAACCATTTTCTAGCTATCTTCAATGTATTAAGCAATTCAGCGTAAAATAGTCAAACTCTTCTGGCTCCACTTTTATTAAAAGCCGATAGTTCAGAAAGTGGAGCCCAGAGTTTCAATGATGTAGATACTTTTTGTTTGTATTGTCCTTATTATTGGTCTATTGCTTATACACACACATTTAAGCAAAAGTGACAAACATGACCAACGAGCAAACCTTTATTTTTTTTTTACTTGAATGCTACATTATCTGGCAACCTAATAGAGGAAAAAAAGGAAAAAAAAAAAAATAGAGCTAGCTCAGCTACACTTTTTCTATTTACTCATGATAACATTAGCACAACAGCAGCAAGCTGCTACAATTTGTTGCATTTTAAATGATCCGAGTCAAACATTTTGGGATTACGATTATTTTTAAAGTACCAGAGGAGAAAAGAACAAAAAACAGTTTACCACTCGTTTTTCTTGTTTACACACAAGTTAGTGTTAATGATACACCACGATTTGCTGCTATGCATAGTTAGGAAAGTACCGGTTTGCCACTGACATGCAGCATTAATGGAAAATTTACAGAAAACAAAAAGAAGAAAAAAAACAAAAACAATTAAAAGCATCTCATCTTCTTTTTTTTTTTTTTTTTTTAATTTTTACATATGTTAACACCAACAATAGAAAGCTGGGAAATTAACAGTATGAAACTGTCATGTGGTATTGATTCAGAAGGGATTGTTAGTGATCTGTTTTATTATTTTTATCTGATGAAAAATGTTTCACCTCAACAATAAAATGTGCAAGACCAGCTAGTGTATACTTCGAAAGTGCCAGTGGCATGTTTGGTGTAGCTGGCAGTTAAATCCACTAACGTACAGATTGAACCGCCACTTCTTTATCTGCAGGTGCTTTAGACATTTTGCACATAGCAGTTTGTGTTTACTGTATTGTTCTAAAAATGGCTGATAAACTAGAATCTGTTCACTCATTCTGGCCGTAAAAAGTTTCAATGTCTTCAACTTTGAATACTTCTGTGATTACAAATGATGTTAACTCAATTTCCAGAAAGAAACATGAAGTCAAATGTCTAGTGGTATAATTCTCTTTCATTATCTTTTGTCTGTCACAACAGCGTTAAAGAAAGAAGCAGCTTTAACTGAACGCTGACGGCCGTCTTAACGGTGTGTCGTGCTTCTTGCAGGGCCATCCCTCCAGACTCCGTGGTGCTATGGCTGACTCAAGCTGGTGGAAGCTGACCTTCTCACGCAAGAAGAAATCTGAACCTAAGGTTTTGTATGAAATCCCAGCAGAGCACGGATGCAACAATGAGAACAAAGACCAAGCAGGCATCTCTTCAGACAATATGGATAGCCAGTTCAACGCGAGGCTGGAGAAGATTGTGGATAAATCTGCCACCAAAGGCCGTCACGTCAAAGTGTCCCACTCCGGTCGCTTCAAAGAAAAGAAGAAAGTCCGATCCACGCTGGCAGAAAACCCCAGTCTGTTCGCAGAGCACAACCTCAGTAGTGAAAATCATAAAAACAAGGCGGACAAATAGCAAACTGCATCTACATGATCATAAAGGTGTCATAAATCACTCAGACAAAGGGCTACTGCCGCACCGTACCACATCCAAGTGGCAACAGTAACTAAAACAAACAGGCGGTATCTTGAAATCGACGTTAATTTATTCACAAACTGAATCATGGACCGGTTCTGGAAACATTTCTCTCATTATTGTAAATGTTGAATTCTAAAAACAAATGTCCAAATGTTCTTAAGCATTTTTTTTTTATGTTTGCACTGGTGTGTTTTTTTAAGTAAGAGCTGAAATGAAGTAGCTTGAGCTTAACCTCCTTCGTCTTGTGCAACAATTATGTATTTTTATGATTTAAAAAGGACCTTTTATCAAAAGATACAGTCCATTTGCTTGAATTTAATGAGAAAACATGCAAAACTTGATTCAAATACGGAATGTCAGAAAAATGATTAAATGCTCACAGTAGCCCCAGAAGGTATTTACCTGGTATTAACTATTGTTTTCTAGGTAAATATCTAAAATAAGTAATAAAAACTCTGAGAAAATGATTTATCAACTTGTGAAGGGCTTTTTATCCATTTTTACTGTGCTGGAAAAATAATTGTTTAGAATGTTTTTTATTAATCAAATGCAAGTTTATAAATTTTGTAAATGACTGTTGTAAAGATTTTTGGGGGTAACATTAAATTATAACTTAAAATAAATTGTTTCAACATTTTTTTTGTATCAAATTTTATTTCACATACACTGACAAAGCACTAGAAAAAGTTATTTGCATTGGTATTTATTGGTAATAGAAAACAACAGCCACATTTTCTTATAAGGGACAAGCTGAATAATTAAACAAGTTGTATAATTTATAATACTGTTTCAGAGAAAATGACACTAAAATGTTTTTTTCCTTATTTTTCTGAATCAGAAAATTGAAGAGATTATTAGACAGATGTGCACTAAACCTCCATTTTGTGCCTTTGACCTGAGAAGAGTTCCACATACACCATGAAGGCTTTTCATAGCACAGCCAGGTGCTACGAGAAGTTAGAAAAGTAAATGGTTTTAAAAATGCAACGAGTCCTATTTTAAAAATGTATTTGATTTTTACTAAAAAAGAAGGTAGACAAATACAAAGCAGCTGAATTTAAGTCTCTGCTTGTCATTTGTGTTGACAGTGTGAATGATGCAGAAAGATACCAGCTGCATCAAATGGACCATTTTTAAGTAGAGACTATTATTACTACTCATTTAGTATTGCTTTCTTTATCAGAGGAGGATAGAAATTAAAATATTACAGCTGGAACCAAAATTGCTCCTGTTTAAGTGACAGCATAAGGTAAAATGAAAAATTAACTCAAGATTGATTGGAAATGTTTTTATGCTTTTAAATGTTTAAATGTTTTTATGCTTTTAAGTTTCTCAGAGGACATTAGATGATCTGTGGCAGAATGAGAATTTGGTTAGGGATCAAAAGACAGTGAGGTCTTATTCTAGTGAATTGTTATAGATAGGACAATGTCATTATGTGTCAACTGGGCTTTCAGTGGTTGAGTAAAATCTAGACTTCAGACTCATTGTCTTGATTATTTCTCTGTTGGTAAATTATAGAAAATAATCCACTGATTGTAGGCAGACTCCAGTTTAACGTGTGCCAAATAAGACACAGATTAAACTTCGTGGCTCAATGCTGACCACCACAATTTTCCCGTTTAAGTGCTAGCTAGATCTGGCAAACTACCACAGCTACATACTAATGAAACTTCAAAACATATTGCAATATAAAACAACAGTTGTGATTGTTTGTTCCTCTTAATTGATTTATTTTCCCCAACCACAGTGGGACAATAAATAGAATAGAGCTAAACTAAAAAATAATCTCCATTTGTTTTGTTTGTACACTTGCTACCATTAGTCAAGTAGCACAGCAACCTACTGCAGGAAGTTAAAAAAGTAATAGTTTAAAACCTTTTCAGTCTCTACATAATCCACTTTCAAAATATACAAATTGACATTAGCAAGTTTTCATTGCTAGCAACAGAAACTTACAAAATAAGAGCTTTAAGATCCAACGGTTAACTGGCTCAGAGTGTTGATTTAATCGATGAAATTAATACCACCGTAAGAAACTTTTTCAGGCGCAGTTTTACAAATCAACAAACATGTGAAAAGCTAAAGAAGCATACTAGCTACCAGCTTTCTGGTAGAGGTACTTTTTGCTGAAATAATTTCATTATGTCAATGTTTATTAAAGTAAAACAATTTCATTGTGTCACCTGAGGTCCTTCCTATGCAAAAGGTGCCTTTCTGGATGCAAGATCATTAATATACTCAGGAGGAAACACTCTGATGGCTGCTGCTGTTAGCAAGCTGATCTTGGTGAGATCACTGTGTCATGTTACAAAGGTTTCGTTGACCTGGCGATGGTAAGCAGACACTAGTAACTCACACTCAGCTCTTGACTGCTGCTCTCCATTTAATAATGCAGCTCTGCTAAAGCAACTTCATGAACTAAATGTGGATCTAAATGGACATTTGAGCATTTTGTGCTCTTATCTTTTCTCAGATGTATGGGTATTGTTTTTTTTCTTCCTTTAATAATGACTCTACTGCCACCTGCTGGTCGAACACACTCAGGCTGTTGTTCAGAATGAAACTTTTATTACAGTTTCAGATTTAACAATGAATGGCTTTCAAGTAGTACAAGACACACAATAACGTAATAGCTGAGACAATAGCTGACAGCATTAGCACTTTTAATCTCAACGTTAAAAGGCAAATATAATCTGCAACAATTACTTTATCCCTCACTTTAATAGACTGAATGTGAACGCTGTTTTATTTTAAAGACAGGTCACATTTTTTTAGTCATGTCTGTTTGTAGGCTTTTTAACGGCATTATTACATGTTTGATCGTGTATCTAAAAAAACAACATGATTATGGATCTGGAAAACCGTTGCAAACTCCCATTTTAGAAATTATCTTTTCAAGAAAACATCAAACTGAAATCAGAAATCTACTTCAAACAGTTTTCTCTCCGTCACTACAAAATATTATTCTAGACAGAAATCATGACATTAGCTACAGAACCTGGAAAAAGTATTCACACCACTTCAACTTCTTCATATTTTGTCACATTATATCCACAAACTTCACTGTATTTTATTTGGGATTTAATGGGATGGACAACACACAACCTACCCAAGTAATTGTGAAATGGGACGTAAAACATCCTTTTTATATATGTATATATATTATTTTTCAAATTGAAGTCTAAAAAGATGGCATGCATTTGTATTTACTCCCTCCGCCCTAAATAAAACATCCAGAGCAAAATTTATCTCATCTCGCACAGCTGTTTGGGTCAGAGAAACATGAAGATGATCTGCTCCAATAAGGCCAAAATTAAACCATCTCTGAAAAAAATGATGGTTGCTATGGTTATCTTCAACCGGGACCGAAAAGATACGCACAAAACATTTACCTCACGATATGCACTTCGTTGGGTTTCCCTATCACATAAAAACCTAAAGAATTCCACCAAACGTTTAACAGGAGACAATGTTGAAGACAGCAGGGGTGTGAATACTTTAGCAAAAGCCCGAAAGCTGAATTTGAACTCGAAAGACAACTGTGCTCTTTTTAAGAAGTGAAGACACTGAAGTTTGAGGAAGCAACCAGCTGCGACTCATTTGTGCCTGAGGAGGCAAAGTTTCCTCGTTTCTTTTTAAAGCCAAAAGAAAACATGACGTTTTGCGTTGCAGGTTCAGATGGTTCGAGTCAAAGAGTCTTACGGGCACGGTCGACACAGATTTAACAAACATCAAATGGTTTCCCACCAGTACCCTCAGACGTTGGCTACTTTTTAAGTTCACGGTGTTCTGGACGGAGCGTCTGTGGAGGCGGGCTCTTACGGAGAGAGTCGCTGGTACACCCAGCCTCCCTCGGCTTCGTGCTGGAACTCCCCCCGTTTCTCTCCGTCCTTCACCTTGGTGAAAACGATGCGGTCGTGGAGTCTGTTGGTCTGACCCTGCCAGAACTCAATCGCGTGAGGCTTGACCATGTAGCCGCCCCTGAAAGATCACAGGGCGCAGTTGGAGTGTGATGGGGAAACACCGCAAAGATCATGCTGATACGCTTCTTGCGGGCGGTTCAAACGGGGACTTTTGCAAAGTTACTTTTTATGAATAGCACCTTGCAAACAGATTTGCGCCCTTTGAAGATTTTCCACATTTTGCCACATTACAACCACAGACGTCAGTATCTTTTTGATAGACCTGCACAAAACAGCACATAGTGCTGAAATGGAAGGAAGATAATATTTTGTTGAACCACTTTTATCAGTTTTTATTGTGCTAATTGAAACATAGCATAATTTCATTTTAGTTTTTTGTATAATGAGAATAAGGAATCTAATAAAGCTTTCCTTCCACGCAGTCACAAGCGTCTTAGTTGATAGTCTTCCAAGTTACCTTTTCATTTAATCTGGATAACATGTTCCTTATTTAGGTTTATTGAATGGAACTGGTGGAATAAAAACGAAAATGAAGTTTTTTTTTTCCTTGTAAATAAATAACCAGTAAAGCTTTTTATGGCCTGACTTGCCAATGTGCATTTCCTTTCTACAAAAGTCTATAAACACGTTAAGGAGAATAAGTATGCTGCAGGTTGTACCAAAGTACATGCTGTTGGTTAATTCTAACTTTTCAGTTTTCAACCTGTTTTCAACAGTTGCTCAAAAGGACATTTTTGAGCAACACTGATTAGTCCACTGATTAATTGGTGCATTTAGATAATTCACTTTGTTAATTATTTTCATTATTTGGAAATAGTCATTAAAAAAAACAAATATTCTCACCAGTAGTCTGGCATTGGCACATCTGTGTCCTTGTACTTCTCCTCCAGTTCAGCATTTTTCTGCCTCAAATACTGAAAAAATACTCAAGATCAGCCTACAAATGTTTTACATACATGCATGAGCTAAAACACAGAGCGGCTCTCTCATCGCTCACGTCTCTGTTAGGGACCGGTGTACTCTGTCGGCTCACGACGGCCCCGATCTGACTGCCCTTCGGCCGTGAGTGGAAATAATCACAGGAGTTCTGGTAGGGGATCCTCTCCACTGAGCCCTCAATACGAATCTTTGAATTAAAATGACAATAAACTGACCATCAGTGGCTGGGAAAACTGGGAAGCAGAATATGTGAGAGAGTTATTTTAGAGTGCCTCTTACCTGCCTGTGAAGTGGTTCCCAGTAAAAAACCAGGCATGCGTATGGATTGCTCTCCTGCCAACGAAAAATCAGTCGGAACCAGAAAATGTGCATCTTAAATCAACATTAAATGAAGTGAAATAAAAAACCCTATGAAAAAATAATTATTAGTTCAAATTACCTAATTTGTTTGAATGTTATACTAAAGTCTACAAAAAAAAATCACTTAAGAAATTCAAATCACTGAATAGATTAATTTGAAATGCAAATTTCTAATTCATCTATTTCTGCCATTTCTACTGTGAAAAGAAAGTTCAATAATGTTCAAAGTGCAGTTACAACATTATTATTAAACTGTACAGCATTTAAAGCAATATGCTGCATTCATGATGCAAGAAAAGACGTTTTTCTGAAAGTTTTGTCTTCATATGACAGACTGAATTATGTGAAAAACCAAATTTATAATGGGCCAAATCAAAACCGAAAAAAGCATGCTAACATTAGATTAGCACGTT